ACCAGATGAAAGATTGAAATGTAACTCATCTATCGCCACATGCCACATCAGCTGTGACTTCATTTCCATTTCTGTGTCTTGCAGGGGAGCCCTGCCTCTATTCACAGAAGTAGTGGCATCAAATGGGATCAATGCTAGTGGTCCCAGTAATGTCAAGGACTGAATTTTACCCTAAATGACAAAAAGAAGATGTGACATCTGGGGGGGGGGGGGGGAAGGTAAAGAGAGACTTTGAATAGCCATATTGCTGGCTCAGTATTTGGGTGCAAAGTGCAATAGGGATGCCGTTCCGCCAGGATAGGTATCTATCAAAGGAGAACCATTTGTTATAGAGACAAATTCCACTGTCTCAGTTTAAGTACAAGAACTGTTTAGATGCAGCAGTGTGTGGGCGTCTTTGCTCCTTTCAGCATTCGCACTCAGACTGAGACAGAGTCTCATTATCATTTATGCAGCATGAGCCATAATTTGGATTGATGTGACTGCTGTTTAATGCAAAGCATTCGTTTCCCCTTGTACAATAAAAGCGCTTTACTTCACTTTGTTCATCAATGTATCATGCAATTAATTCAGCCCTGCTTATTATATCCTGGGCTTGCATGTCATGGATGCAAGGGACTTAGAAATGTCTTAATGATCTCATGGATATGAAAACAATGAGAGCTATGATAGACATTATGCATTTGCACGTCTCCCACACCTATCTGATCTGGGGGGGTTGGTTGTTTTTTATCTCTGCTTTGCTTTGCTTGTACCTTGTAAATTGCCTCTCTGTGTAACCTGCTGTCTCTGTTCCCTTCCCTAGGCTTGATAACTCAAAGCAACATAAACATGGTGAGAAAGATAAGCAGCACATTAAAGAAGACCTGCAGGGAGAAGCAGACGTCCCAGGAGACTAGAAACAGGATACAGAGATTTTCCTGACTAGAAGACTGGTCCAGGTAAGTTCAGCTCTCTGCAACTAATATCCAGCAATTAGCTGCTTTATCTCAAATATATTGGTGTATGTTTTGCGCATACTGAGTAAAAACCTAATACACAGCTGGCTCCCTGTCTGACAGCATAAAAGTGAGGCTAATAAGGCAGAAACGCTTTCCTTTGCATTTTCAGGACACTGTACCCTTGATGGATAAGGTGATAGAAATTCTGTGGAGAAGTAGAGGAGCCAATATAATTGCTCCTGCTGTCCTTATCTGGCCTATGGGGATGCAGACAAGCTCACCCCTCATAGTTCTGTCCTTCTCGTCCCTCACTTGGGGTCTAGTCTGAAGGCAACTAAAGGCTGCAGCTGCCACTGGTGTCTTTGAGTTGTGCCCCTGGCTGGGGAGCTGAGAGCAATGAAAGCATCAGCTTGGCGCAAATGCATGTATTATCAATAGAGCTTTTCTGAATAAGCAGTGAGGAAGGGCATATAGACGTTGTCCTGGATCTACAAACTCCCTTTTAAATCCCAGTGGGAAATCAGCAAGCTGAAACATTATTTGCATTGGAGGGGAAACTGAAGGCATTTTGTAATGCTGGTGGGGAGACGCCTCCTGCAACCTCACTGCAAAACAGTCTATGGCAGGATGATTTGGGGAGTGGAGAGGGTTACACTAACATGGTATCTTGACAAGCGCACTTGAAAGTCTTTTACAATCTCAGCAAGGAAGATCTGCTCCTCTGTTTTTCTAAAATCTAACTAGAGCTTTGTGATATCATTGAGGGACTTCAAGATTCACTGGCACTCCAGAAAATGAAGTGACATAGCAGAAATGGGTTTATGGGGTACATCTGATCACTCAGAACATTCCAAGAAAACAACAGCCCTAATTTTTTCTGATGAAAAAATACAACAGCAATGCTTTTTCCAGGCTTTATGTAGCAGAGAGTGACTGGCATGGACTTGAACAATGTAGTAGAGCATGGGTTTGAAATTGAAGCACTTTCACACACTGTGAATTGACAACAGGGTAATTACTGGGAGGGTGGGGGAGGGAGGAGAGAGGGTTTCAATAAAACACCCCCAAGCTAAAATGAATGCAGACTATTACAGACCTGAGACAGAATGATTCCCAAGTGTTTTAATTTGTGCTTCCACTCCTTGTCTCCCTTGCAGTCATCATTTTGGCAACTGCCAGCAACATCCCCGAGATTCAACAGCATTTGCAGAACAGGCAGCTGCTGAGATGATTATGTCAAATCAGCACGCTGTCCTCTCTTTTCCATGTCTAATGATTCTCACCCTTGGAGAAGTGGTTTAAAATGATGCATACCCCTTGGACTCATTGTGAGGCTGCTAACAGCAGTGGCTGTAGAGCAGGAGCTTGGGTGGGACTCTGTCACTCACCTTTCTTGCATGCATGCCCTGCAATTAACTTTAAAAATTATTCCACAAAGCCCTGCTATGGCTGGTTTGGGCCTGATCCAAAGTCCTTTCAAGACAATAGAAAATCTTGCAAGCGCTGTGGCTTAAGCTCTCTGGGGGCAGTAGAGAAGCTGAGCTTGTGTGAATTCGTGATTTGAGTTTCCCAAACAATCAGTTGAGAACCTATAAATCAAGACTTGCTTGGCGTTTGTCTCCCCCTCTCTTTTTCAGACCTCATGCCCCCAAAGGCAGAACTGTCACTGACCCCAGTGTGACTGGGAGATGCTGGAAAGGAAGGGGAAAGTTGCTAAATGTAACTCTGCAGCTGCTGCCATGCCCTTGAGACAGCGCAGAGCAGCACTAAAAAGCTTTGCTATACTCAGAAGTGGGTTGGACTTCTTGTGCAAATGTTCCCCGGGGTTTTATATCACAGGCTGGTCTTGCATTCCACACCTTGGCATGTTATTTACTCAACAGCTTTCCTTTGCACTGCAGTTGCGAAGTGAGTAGTTGATCTGGCTGATGCATAAATCAGGTTGTCTGGTGCATTTCACACTGCTGTGGCTGTGCAGCATGTGCCTGTGCCACTGCTCACGCTTTCTGCTTCACCTCTGCAACATCACGGTTTGATTCAGAAAGAATGAGTCTTGGTCATGGGCTCTCTTTCTGAAACTCCAATGTGAGCAATCAATCCAATAATCCTGTGACTTGATTTATAATAATTAATCAATTTTCACTGACCTTAGACGTTTAACTAATCCCACCAATTAAGAATAATCTGTTCTTTATATTCAGAGTTAATAGACCAAAGGCTGAAAAAGCAAGAGCTGGAGAAGCAAGTCTCTTTTTGGAGTCTAAAAGCTCTGGCTTTAAATTCAGACTTGCTGTTTAAGCCTGCTTGTGTTTCACATGATTTGCAAAACAGTCTTGCCCAAAACACTGCCCAGGATCCTACAAGGATTCTGTATGTAGTGTATGGGGCAATGAATACCTGCATCACCAAGGATAAAGACCCCTACAAAAATCTCCTGCTTTCTTTCAATTGCACTGTTCCAACACAGATCTCAGCTCCTATATTGGAAAGCAGTGTGGTATCAAAACCTGGCTTTGATAATGGCTGTGCATGTGGTTCTCATCGGTGTCACACGGCCCAGGGTCTGAGAGCTCTGCAACTGACTGTGATCAGTTAAGGCCTTTTTCCCTTTATGCTTCCACTGACAATAGCACTGGCAGCACCACCCACTATTCTGCATCTAGGCTGAGGGAGGGGCTGCATTTCTCCCTCTGGGTTAACAAATTGCATCCTTGCTGCCGTGGAATAGAGCTGGAACCAAACCACCTTTCTTTACTCCTGCCTTTTGGGTTAAGACTGTAATGCTGTAAGCAGAAATCTAAACAGCTACATCCAACCAGCTGGTAGGTTTTGCCTAAATGCTCCTTTACAAGTTCCTCCTTGAGCATATCTCCTAGCAGCACAGGTGTATGTGGGTCAGAACTAATATTATATTCAGAGCATAACTCTGTGGTCATGACTGGGCACTCATCATATTAGAGGTGTAAACTATTACGCTAGCAGCATTTGAGTGAATACACAATGCTGAGTGACACTACAATAGAAACAGGAGCGCAAAATGGAGATTTGCCTACCTAAATGGAACAACGGGGGCGTTAGGGAAGCAGCATAAAGAGGATTCTGACCACAGCACCAGGATTAATGTTTCTGTTCCTACAAAAAGTGCCGTACATCTCCAGGTTCTTGAATTTAACATTTAGAAGGCTTCAGAGCTGTCTGACACCAGAAGTCAGGGTACTGGGGTGTTAGCAGTAGAAAAGAACATCTTTACCAACTAACACTAGTCCTGTTTAACACAGGTAGCCCGTGTTGCTCCAGTATATCACTGAAGTCAGTAACTAAGTAGTAATATAAAGAAGTTTTGAACATCTGGATAGCTACACCAGGCAGAAACTGCCTGTTAGCTGCAATTTCAGTGAGGATACAGGGAAGCTTGGATCCCCAGTTTGGGTAGGGAATTTTTCTACCAAGTGGCACAATTGCTCTGTGTGATTACCTGAAGGCATCAGTGCTACCTGCTGGCCAGCTCCCTTATAGGTCTTTCTGGCTCCTGCCACATCTTTAGGTGCAGTCAAAGAAGTAGAAGAGTTGCACAAAGGATATCTATCATATCTTTATTTACATACCATGGAAACACACATGCAACATGTCACAGGATTTACTACAATGGAACAGCCTGTCCCTATCTCCTGTTACCAAAAACTTTCATTTTGGCTCACTAGGAAAACTATCACTTCCCCAGAAAGCTCCTAAAAATATTCATTAAAAATAACAGACTTGGCAGGATAAGTAAATGAGTGAGAGCTGCAGGCTGGGATGTCTTGCCACATCCTTGCAGAAACCAGGTGGCTCTCTGGAAGCAAGAAAGGAAGGAAGGAAAGAAGGAGTGGGACTGGGTGGTCCCAAAGACGACAGGTAGGAAGTGGTCCTGTGTAACAGCTAGGGAATATCTGTCTGTAGCAGTGAACAAGGGAGAGAGCAAGAGCTCTGTCAGAGGCTCCCCTCTCACCTAGGTAGCCAGCTTCCTGC